TCTCTTCCAGCCATAATGATTCTATGATGCTATAATTCTATCTTATATACCCTATAAATTATAATAATAGGGAAAGCATCATGTAAAGTCATTACTGGAAGTATACATATATCGTAAACAGAAGAACTGATTTATAATTATAACTGAAACCCATGAAGTCACATTTTGTAATCTCTTTCAAGTGCATAGAAGAAATGAAACGTGAAGCCAGACCTATTAAGATTGACAGAAGACTGACGGGTGCGAATATAATTGATGAGCCTTTGCAACAGGTGAGCTCTAACCAGGAGTATTTAATCTATTTTTATTTTTGCAAGTATTGACTACGTAACATCTAAGTAGTTGAGAGACAAATAGAAGTTGAGAAATTTTATAATATATGGGAGTGCTAAGTGAAAAAATATTGAGGACGTGCCAGGATATTGGGCAATATTTGAATGCGTTTTCTGTGTATTACAGTTTCTCAGCATAGCAGTGATGAATGCATGCAAACCAATATGAAAAAGAGGGGTCACTATGTGAGTTTTATTGTTTCAGTCACAATTTCATAATGGTAGTGGAGTATGGTTCACTATCTTAACCTTTTAAGAAGACTACTGTTGCATTATCAGGCGCAAAAAGCTATTTTATGTTTTGTTGTCTTTTGTTCTTTAGTTCATCTTTATTTTTTCCTTGCCAATTTCAGGTAATCCAGTTTTCCCTGAGGGACTATGTGCAGTACTGGTATTACACCCTAAGTGATGATGAATCGTTTCTTCTGGAAATCAGGCAGGCTCTTCAATATGCACTTGTTCAGTTTTCTGCCAGGTAAGATTATTTGTATTTGCATCAATACACTATCTAAGCAAGTGGACATATACATCTATGGATTGTGTGATAGTAGGTAAATGATTAAGTTTGTCTATTGGCATAGTTAAGTGTATTTTACAGAAATAACATGTAGAATTTTAAGATCGTAATCTAAGAACTACAGTCTTTTACTGATCCCTTAAGGAATGAATGGAGGTGATGTTTGTAGTCATGGTCTCTTGCAAAATGGCCTTTTCAAAGTTTAGGTTAATGTCTAAAATTACAGAATAGCTTTTTTTTCTGCAACATAAGCATTGAGTTGCATGAATCATCACCTTTTTGTATGCAGGTCTGTTTCCTATGAAGAGCAGGGCTATTACCAAGAGAAGTCAAAGATCGAGAGCTAGATTTAATTCTGGGTAAAATTCATTATAATAAAATCTTACTGATTATGAAATAATACAAATCCTAGGAAACAGTGTTGGAAATAGTGAAAACTAGGCTAAAGAAACTGTACATTACAGCCAGCAACCCTGTGCTTACATGAAATGGACCTGACTACCCAACTTCAGTGTTTTTGTCTATTTGACCAAGTTACTTCATTGAACAGTATCAAGCACTAGGTTTGTGTCAAAGCAGGTCAAGTTATAGAAAATTTAATGTTTTTTCCTACAGTACTATAGCTCTTCAAAAATAGCCACCACTCCTGTGCAGTTGCGTTCTTCTGTACAAATCAAATTGGTTTCACAGGGCTGCAGCAGCTCTTGTTATTAAGAGAAAATGATCTAATATATTTATAATGTCTGTAGTTGGATATAGCTGTAGCAGTCTTAGATTAGTACCATTATCTCTAATTCCATACACCCTCTGAGCTTCTGGAGAGAATGAATACAGCGGGTTCTTTTTTTTTCCTTTCTTTTTTTTTCTACTTGAGAGTTGCAGATTTCGGCGAATGATGTAAGGCTGCCACCTAGTGTTTTTGCATGATTTGTTGATTGTGTGAACGGTGGATCTGGATTATTGATGATTTTAATCGTCTGCCCTTTGAGGCAGCTCTGCTTCTTATTTCCACATCTAGATTTTTGCAGTAGGCTTCCCTCTCTGGAAGAGTTCCTTATTCCTTTCTCCCTCTATTTGAGGGAGGAAAGAGCAGCTGAGGGAATGGGCACACAAAAAAGGAAGTGTTGTAGAAGGATTCTGCTATAACAAAATTGATATCTAAGAGAATTCAGGTAGTTGAATACTTAGTGCAGAGTAAAAGCCATCACTAACATCTAGCTTCATTAAACCTCTGACGCACAAGTGCATTTTCAGCTTGGCTGGTAAGGCATGGACATCGTAAGAATATCTCTGCATCTTTTTTCATACCACTAAGGAAATTGTTTTATGCAAATCTAACAGTGACTATTTTCTGACGCTAACCGATGCACGTTGTTGGAGGTACACGCTAATTACCTCTCATATAAGCTGTGGAATCAGTTGTTAACAATATTAGGTCACTTGTAGTTTCAAGTAAAACCTGTGTTTTCTCACTCATGCAAATACTGCAAATTGAGAAGAAAATGATTTTGTTTAGGTGCCTTCCAAAATGATAGAAAGTATGGCTGAAAAAGACCTGGGGAGTATTTTAGTTCTAGGTTGTAGACTGCTTATATCAGGATTTTTCACAGATATTTGATAATGTCACGAATCAGAACACTATTCCAGATACTAATGTTGGCCTTAAAGTATTTGAAGTGTAAATATTAATGTGGTGTGAGTGTGGTATTGTACAATATTTGATTTGTTTTCAGTGGATAGGCAATTAGGAGACTGATTTATTTCCATGTTTACTGTCAGTGTGGTTCTTGGCAGGGAGGAAGGAGAAGTAGAAATTTATTACTGTTGTTTGTGTTCAGGATAAAATAATTCATTTTCATTGATGTCTTTTTCTGATAGGTCAAAGGAAACAGACTGGCAGCCTTATTTCACGACACGACTTGTTGATGACTTTGGCACTCATCTTCGAGTTTTCAGAAAAGCTCAGCAAAGAATAGCAGAGAAAGGCGATCAGATGAAAAGTAATGTAATGGTTTAAATATTATTTTATTTTTATTTGAGTCTGAGTAGGAGGTATCTTACATGTGTGAAATATAGTTAGCTTTATTTTATAATTCAAGTTTACTCTCAAGTTTCTAATCTTTACAAAAACATATGTTTCTTATAATTTTTTTATGTAGATCAAGCTGAGGAACTTGTAGATACATTCTTTGAGGTGGAAGTTGAAATGGAAAAAGAAGTCTGTCGTGATCTAGTCTGCACTTCTCCCAAAGATGAAGAAGGTCTCTCAATATTATCTGCTGAAGTTATTTTAGTATAGCAGACTAAATTAAAATAATAACAGTTGTGTTTAGAATATGAAATACACTGAAGTCTTAGCATGTGACTTTCAAAGCATGATTGTCTACTATACATGTGTATTTCCTCTAATTTGTACATATTGATGCTATAATTATAATGAAGTATGTACGTATGTAGCCATTCCTCTTTTCATTGGAAGAATTTTAAGACAAAAATATGTTTTCTGGGAACCAGGGGATGTCTTTGTAGATTCTTACTACTTTTTATTAGATCTGCCTTCCTTATCACTAATCTGTAGTCTTCATTAAAAAAATCAGTTTATCTTTTTGGGCAAAGTGTGAATGAGGGGAAAAAAAACCCTGTATATGTTAAATAAGAAAAATACATTGGAGTTAGTTTTTTGCTTCTTAGAATTTGGCTTTTGTTTGTCTTGGTTTTGCGACTCCAGATCTGTCTCAGGTTAACATCAGTGCGGCTTATACTCAGTCTGAAAGGTGTTACTGTGATGCTGGGACTATAAGAATATATACAACTGTATATTTTAATTTAATTTTAAGGATTTATCTGTTGGTTTTTATGATATCGGGTAAAATGTGAAATAACATAATATAAAATTGTGCTGAGGGTTTTTTTGTTCTCTCTCCCTAGGATTCCTAAGGGATCTGTGTGAGGTTTTACTGTATATATTGCTACCTCCTGGAGACTTCCAGAACAAGATCATGCGATACTTTGTCAGGGTAAGTATGGACTCTAAAAGCCATCCCAATTCTTTGGCTTAATGCCATAAAAAATTTTAGATCTGAACTGCTTTTCTTATTCTATTTTGTAAAATTGATCTAATGTAATATTATTTTAAATGCAGTACTATCTTGATAAGTGCTTAACAGCAGAGAACAGTTTGCATGAAATAAATATTCACTTCAAAAACTTGAAGTTTCTTTTACCTCTAGCAACATTAGAAAAGCATGATAAAATGAATATTGTTTTTTCTTCAGGTATTAACATCATCTAATGTTAACTGGAAGGAAATGTGCTAGTGCCTATTGAATATTTTCTGTAATTACACATTTTTTTATTTAACCTCTATACAGTGATTTTTCAATTGTTGCTGTTATATTAGCTTTATGAATAAATGTATACAATAGTCTATTATTTTGTTTTTCAGGAAATCCTCTCCCGAGGAATTCTTCTTCCATTAATAAACCAGCTCAGTGATCCTGATTATATTAATCAGTATGTCATATGGATGGTAAGATTTATAATGTTTAAAATGAATGATATTTCCAGAGTATTTTCATATACAGCTTTACTTATGTTCCCTGTAATCATGGCAGTTAAATGTCTGGTAGAAAAAAGTTACCAGTGGATATATTGGTAGAGAAGGTGAAATTATGTCTGCTATATTAATTTTTTTATACATATGTGTAATATTTTTATATAGATACATACACACACACACACATTCACACTCTCTCTCTATTATCTGTACTCTGTGTTGTGGTTATTTGCCAAAGTTGCCCGACTGAGGATGAATGTATGACAAAGTGTGAAGTTGAGTCCTCTGACCGTTTCCTTAGCTGTTCAGGAGGTATGGCAGTAACCTTGGAAGTTTTTTTCCTTGACTGTTGTTCCGATATGTCCTTTAAAGCTTAAGAGAACTCCAGAATGACAAGTAGTAAGACTGGGTTTTTTCGCTCCTACTAAGGAATCTTAGAGTGATTGTTCTAGAGGTATTTGTGGTAACCCTTAATAATTTAACTGAATGGGAAGAAACAAAGTCTTTACTTTTGATATCTCTCTAATGCACCTGCAAAAAAACCCCCAAACTTTTAAAAGCAGTAACATAAACATAGATAGAATATTGCACACTTTGTAATTTTGCAAAGCAAGTTAAAACTTACTCGTATAGTTTATTATACCTTATAGGTCATGAATCAAGTTTAAATTTCTTTTTTTCATTTCTGCAAATTCTCTCTACTTTTATTCATACATTTTAGTCTTGTGGTGTGCATTCAAGTATTATGCTGAAAGCACCCTTACATTTCAGAGTAAAAGTTCTTATGTATGGAATGAATTCAAGTGTACATGTACAATGTTTCCTTCACTCCAGCCACCTTGATTTCATGTAAAAGTTTGCATACTGCTTTTCTACAGCAACCTAGCTTTAATTAGAAAAAATACTGCTGCTTATATGGACCAAGCTTTTCAATTTTTGTTTCCCCTCCCCTCCTACACATGTTCTTTATTTGTAACTTGGCCTCATTCTTTATTTACTGAGCACTGCCCCTGGCTGCATCCAAAGATAGAATCCTGAGGTTTTTTTGTAAAGCTTTCTGTTATTATGGTGATATGCCAAATATTAATTTTCATAATTACTTTCTGAGATGAGGAAGGAAATGTGCTGGGGGAAAGATAAGGAAGAATAAATGATTTCAAAAATTTTAATGAGTCTTAAGAAATGAAGATTGTTGCAGAAATTAAGGTCAGAAGTAGATGTGACTGAACTAAATTCTGGCTGCTTTTGGAACCTTTGACATAAAATCAGATTTGAATTAAAAAATTCAGTTTCTGAAAATTAGAAGTGTTTTATGCATGTTTCTAGGCACACCACAGTTTGATACTAATTCTCTTGCAATAAAATACAAAGCCTCAGTATAAAATTATTAGTTAATTCAAACTTGTCTCTCTTCACTGTGAAATTCACATTTTTACGAAATGTTTGAAGTTCAAGTATTGCTTGTACTCTTACTTTTAAAAGCAGATTTCTAGCAAGATTTTCCATTAACTTTGGTCGAAGGTATCTGGTCTTCATTCAGTTCCATGCAGCTCATGTCAGTGCATTTCTGCAGTACAGACCAAGTATTACATTTCCATATCAGAGTGAGCATTTATGAAAGATGTGGGTGAAGTGACTTTTTTTGGCCTCAGATGGTAAGGACAGCGTTAGAACTCAACCCTTTGCACGTGCGTGCACATGCTGTAAAGCTACCAACCTGCCACTGATCTCCTGCTGCATTCATAGAATCATAGAATCATTATGGTTGGAAGAGACCTCAAAGATCATCAAGTCCAACCGTATACCTGATGCCACCCTGTCCACTAAACCATGTCTTGAAGTGCCACATCTAAACGTTTTTTGAACATCTCCAGGGACGATGACTCCACCACCTCCCTGGGGAGCCTGTTCCAATGCCTAACAACTCTAACAGTGAAGAAGTTCTTTCTAATGTCGAGCCTGAACCTCCCCTGGCGCAACTTGAGACCATTTCCTCTCGTCCTATCGCTAATTACTGGGCAGAAGAGCCCAATCCCCACCTCACTACAACCTCCTTTCAGGTAGTTGTAGAGGGCGATCAGGTCTCCCCTCAGCCTCCTCCTTCACAACAGTTTCCAGTGATCTTGGCAACACAGCAGACTTCCTTCACTTGCACAAATTCCTTTGAGTCACTAGAGCAGGTTCACCCTATGCCAATACTGGGAAAATAGTATGTATTGAAATAGCTTAATAGTATGTACAAGGGGATCTGAATTAGGGTTTCAGAGAGGATATTAATTCAGGCATCACTCCCACACAT